AACACCTGGGCATTCCCCCGGAGGAGCTGGAGGAATTGTCTGGAGAAAGAGAAGTCTGGGCATCTTTGCTTAGACTGCTGCCCCCACGGCCCGGTCCCGGATAAGCGGAAGAAAATAGATGGATGGATGGATGGATGGTCTTAGTGCATAAGACTAATGTTACAGCCCCACCGACTGAGGGACCAGACAAGCACTGTCTCGTGCATAAAAAACCCCACGCTTTACAACAATGCAAGGGCTTTAGAGAAAAACCTTTTCTGTATCAGAAGACAATTCTAAAGCAACACAATATCTGTTATAAGTGTTGTGCATCAAACAAGCATGGGGCAAGAAACTGTGAAGCAGCAGTTAAACGCTCAGAGTGTGGCAGTGACAAGCACCCAACTGCTTTACACCCAGACACACTGCGCCCCCCAAGATCTCTCTTGCCTCCTGAAAATTACGGCGGGGAGAGACAAGTAGGACAGGAGGCAGCGGTAGTTAACAGTTGCACTGAAGTATGTGGAGAGGGGTTCTTGGGAAAATCATGCTCCAAAATATGTCTGGTCAATGTTTATCCCATTAATGATTGCAACAACAGTAAACAAATGTATGCCATGCTGGACGACCAGAGCAACGTTTCCCTTGCACGCTCTGAGTTCTTTGATATGTTCAAAGTTAACAGTAGTGTAACGCCATACAACCTCTAGACCTGCAGTGGTATAGGTCTTGCTGCTGGCAGAAGAGCCTTTGGATATGCAATAGAGTCCATAGATGGTTCTCATACAATACCCCTACCCACATTGAGTGCAACATGATACCAGATAAAAGAGAAGAAATTCCCACTCCAGCTGCTGCATGTGGGCATAGTCATCTCGAACACATAGCGCACAAAATAGCAGCTAAAACCACATGACAGTCTAGCAAATGGGAAAGTGTCAGTTAACGACTCAAACACAAAATACAATGCCCAAAACAATAGTTTTGGAAACAACGTCTTCAATCAGACCAAAAATGACACAAGGTGGCGCCTTCAATGGAGGATCTGTTATTCCTCAAAATTATGGATAAGGAGTTTTCACAGAACGAGGGACGAAGCTGGGTGGCTCCACTACCATTCCACCAGCTTAGAGTACAGCTGCCAAACAATCGCCTTTACGTGATCAATTGCCTCAAGTCACTAGAGCGTATCCTCAACAAGAACCCTGTAATGAAAGCCCACTTAATAGATTTTATGCAAAAAATGTTAGACAATGGCCATGAAGAGCTCGCACCCCCAGTACAGGGAAACAAAGAATACTGGTACCTGCCCTACTTTGGCATATACCACCCACAAAAGCTGTTTCAAATAAGAATGGTATTTGACTCTAGTGCGCAGTTCAAGGGTACGTCACTCAATGCTGTGCTCCTCTCAGGGCCTAACCTAAACAACAGTCTGCTGGGCGTTGTGAGATATTAACTGTGTGAGACATTGCAATTCAGGCATCAACACTGTTCACTGTGCACATATAAGAATATGTATTGTAGCAAAAAGCACTTATATCTTTATACACTTATATGGTAAATAACTTACACTGGGTTTGAAGCATGGGCACTAATTCATATAACGGAACTGAATAAGAATGTAACCTTCAACTATGTTTAATCAGTTGCAATGTCTGTGTTTACTCTATCATTCACATGTATTTTTGGATAAATACCGCTTCCCATGAAGGGAGTCGCAGGAGGAAGCAGGAGAATTGAATACAGTGGGATATAAAGATGTCTGGAACAGCTCCACTGTTTTATACTCATGGAACTTGTAAGGATAAATTTAAGTTTCTTCATTATAACAGGATGTTCACTATATCATGTGTGTGCGTGCTTCTTAAATAACAGGATGTACTACTTTGGAATTAAGGAGTATGTTTTGGGGGAAAAGTATTGACAAATGCCACCTGCATCCTGCAGAGCATCTATCATTTGACTCTGCTAATGAGATAGAGCACCACCTGGCAGGGGCCTCAGAGGGAGGAGCAGCAGCAACCCCAAACAAGAACACAAGAACCTAACTGCACTTCGACAACATGGAAAGAGATGGTGGGACAACACCCCAGAGGCTGTGGATAGCCAAGGACTCTGAGTGACTGTTCTTATTATGCCACCATCATGGTGATAGCTGCGGCCAGGGGCATCATGTTTTCAAGTTGTCTGTCCATCTCATTCTTGTGAACGTGATATGTCATGTCATGTCCTTCAAGGTATGCCTTGAAGGAATTTCTTCAAATTTGGCACATGTCCACTTCGACTCAGTGATGAACTGATTAGATTTTGGTGGTCAAAGGTCAAGGTCAGTGACATCACATCCATACCAATGAATTTGACTGTTTGGCAGAGACATACAACTTCGAAGCAGTAATTATAGTTTTGGATACTGCCTTGACTGTCCATTTTGTGACGTTATTTTCATTTTCATACATTATCATCAATGAAATGGGTGATGCAACATGTATTTACTATTAGAGCTGTTACTGTTGAAGAGTTTTAATGTCACCTCAAACCAGTCCTGAAAGCCACAATTGGATTTATCTGGAATCCTAGTGTGATTTCATTATGCCTCCATGCTGAAGGTCAAGCTCACCATGACCTGGCATTTGTCCCACTCTTGTGAACATGATACTACACCTTGAGGGAATTTCTTCAAATTTGGCACAAGTGTCCACTTAGATTCAAAAATGAACTGATTACCGTGGTTAAAGGTCAAGGTCAGTGACCTCACTTCACCTGTCCTGAGTCTGCCCCCATTACTCATCCATCCTATTCCTGACCCTCTCTGGACTTCATCTGCCGAGACAGTAGACTACCCAGTGACTCTTCCACGTCTACCTTGACCATTCTGTTCTTACCCCTGAACTTCAGTCTTCAATAAATATACCAGATTCGCTAGCAATCTGAGTCCTGCTTTTGGTGTCCAGCTTCATGCTTAGTGGCTCTAGGCTGTAACAGAAAACTGGAAAGGAGGTGGCATTCCACTAAGTCAGAAGAGTATTTTCTAGCCTGGAAAGATAACTTAATAACATGTTATAACATTAGATCTGATTAATGTCTCTCTATTAGCAGGCTGTTCCACAGGCTTTTAAGGTTTCTGTAATTAAACCTCTACTCAAAAAGCCTACTCTTGACCCAGGTCTCCTAGCTAATTTTAGGTGTTCCAGTAAAGCACTGCACTGTGACAGTGAGCCAGTATACCCACCAAGACCACACAAAAGAATTCAGCCATCTGTGCTTTTCCCAGTGTGACATACAATAATGCCTATTCCAAACTTACAATGCTGTGCATTTTGAAAACAATCGCACATAAAAGTTGTAAACAGAACAGCTGAAGTTACTGTATGATCGAGCATCAAACCAAGAGGATGTTTTCTGCATCTTTTATCCACCTGTGGTGATTCACAATGGCTGATGCTGATATTTTGAGAGTCAACAAGCCAACCATGAGGGACTGTGCTGCAAGTTTTCAGTGTGATTTCTTTCTGCTTGCTTATGATTTCCCCATAGTGGTACTACCATATTATGCACAGTGCTGCACAACTACAAGAGAAAACCTGTCAGATGACAGAAAAGAAGACTGACAACTCTCACCTCTTCCTCCTCTGGCACTCTTGATTCCCTGAGGGCTGTTGGGAAAACTCTTGGGGTGAATGTGACTTGAATATTTCCACTGAATCTTGGAGCAGGAAGGTCCACTTGTTTTTTCTTGCACTTTTCGCTGGTGCTTCGTTGAACTAAACACAGGATTATGTTCATTACCATTACCATAACCAACAAGTGTACAAGAAAATTTGATCACACAGAAAATTACAAACCCAGGTTGACATTTCCTCCAGCTAAACATCCGTTATCCTGGTTCTCTCTCATGGCTTCCAGTTTGTTTTGATAGTCCCTCTGACTTTGGCAGTTTACTTGGGCTTCTTCCTCTGCTTTTTGTTTGCGTCTCAGCTGCCATGCTACCAGCTCTGCAGTGGTTTTCTCTCGCTCAGTGTCTTTCATTTTCTGGATGCTGTCTCTTTCTTCCTTTTCAAGCTGATATCAAGTAAAAAATATTATAAAGTATACATAGTCACAAAAAAACAGTAACAGCACTGTTTGCAATTTGCTGGTTTTCTGCATAAATTGGTCATGAAATGGGATCTGATCGCCAAAGTCACAAATATCAACAAACACAATATTTCTAAGCTGATAAAACACAAACAGTCGTGATCTTTCATGCCTTTATTGAACACATCCATTGAAAATAAACTGATCATGGAAAAAGTAATGAAAACAGTGTTTTAATAACTGGTTGAAAAAAAACTCGCTTTGACGAAAGAAACCTCCAACAGACCCCGGGTCTTGGTGGGTGGCCTTCTGCCTCGATCTGTTGGGGTGAGTAGATAGAGGAGAGAGAAAAGAAGAAAAGCAACAAAACACAAGAAACACAACAACAAACAACCAAACACAGGGCAGGTCGATGTGGCTGGTGACTGCTCATCAGAAACGTAAAGCTCCAGAGCCAGGGCTACCTGCAGAAAGGTACAGGAAGAGCACAGGGAGAGAGGACACACTATGGGAGAGAGGAGACACAAAGTTAGTAATGGGTAGTGGTGGCATATAGATGGATGGAGAGAGAAGAGAGGGGAGAAACTCAGAGCATCATGGGGCCCCCCAGCAGCCTAGGCGTATAGCAGCATAACTAAGGGAAGGCTCAGGCTCACCTGATCCAGCCCTAACTATAAGTTTTATCAAAAAGGAAAGTCTTAAGTCTAATCTTAAAGATACGTGATTCCACAGTATCTCTATTGGATTGAGGTCTGGGTTCTGACTGGGCCGCTCTAAAATGTGGGTTTTGTGTGTCCATAACCATCCTGTAGTAGATTTACTTTGAAGTTTAGGATCATTGTCCTGCTGCATCACCCAGTTTGTTCTGAGCTTCAACATGCTGACAGCCATCCTGACATTATTCTGTAGGATACCTGGATAAACTTGGGGATTAATTTTTCCCTCCACAATGGTAAGCAGTTCAGGTCCAGAGGCAGAAAAACAAATTATGATGCTCCCCCCACCATACTTCACTGTTTGGATGATGTTTTCATGTTGGCATATGGTTCTCCTTTCACATCATACACAGCACGGTATGTTCCTCCCAAAAAATTCTACCTTTGTTCCATCTGTCCACAGGACATTTTCCGAGTAGTGTTGTGGAGGTCAGGGTGGTCTTTGGCAAACTTCAGACATGCTGCAATGTTGTTTTTGGTGTCCTGCAATGATACCATGCCTGTTCAATATTTTGCATATTGTTAACTCATGAGCAGAGATGTTAACCAACTCCAATGAACTCTAAGTCTATAGCTGTTACTCTAGGGTTCTTTTTCACATCATTGAGTGTTCTGCATTGTGCCTTTGGACATAATGGCTGGGCACCCACTTCTTTGGAGAGTAGCCACACAACCAAACTGTCTCCATTTATAAATACAGTATGTCTGACTGTGGACTGATGAGTATATAGAGTCTTTGAGATGACTCTAACTCTTTCCAGCTACATGCAAATCAACAGCTCTTGGTCGTAGGTCTTCTGAGAGCTCTTTTTTGTGAGGCATAGCTCACATCAGCTGATGCTGCTTGTGAACAGCACACTGACACTGTCTGATTGTTTTTATAAGTCAAGGTTGTTCTAAACTACAACTCCATTCTCATTTCATTGGTGGGACTCCAAATTTGCTAATATGTTGCTACAGACATGGCGCCCACTGAGGCGAACGTGTTTGCGCGTTCCACTCTTGAATGCCGACTTTTTCTTCGTTTTCTTCTTTTTTGTGTGTTTTTTGCTTTTTCTGCAGTGCACAAATGTCATGCACTGCTTACATACAACAGACAGGCATTGCTGGATATCGCCAACTCACAAAGCCACTGGGAATTTACTGGTTTCATACCACCGGAGCTACAACCCATTGTCCGATCCGGCGACAACAACAACAATGGCGAGGACAGCCACCACTGCCCTCGGGGAGCCCCTGGAGCACCGGGCACAAGTGGGCAGGCTGAAATCAGGAGAGCGACCCGGAGACGGATTGCTGAAATGCCAGCCTTACTATCTAGCCAGAGCGCATAGTGCTGTGTTTCTGGCTGCTGTGTATGTTAGCCCAAGAGCTAATCCCTCTGCGGCTCTCAGTAAACTCTATGATGCCATCAATGCTCTAGACAGCGCACCCCGATGCTGTATTTATCGCTGCAGGCGACTTTAACCAGCGCAACTTATGGACTGTACTCCCCAAATATTACCAACATGTGAACATTCCCACCCGGGGCAAGAACACTCTGGATCATGTTTACAGTAACATGGTGCATACAGGGCCGCACCCCGCCCCTACCTTGGATGCTCAAACCACATCTCTTTGTTCCTGTATCCAGCTTACAGACAAAGACTGAAACAAACAAACCCTGTCACCAAACAAATTAAACTCTGGACCCCAGAGACTGAAGGCACCCTGCAGGACTGTTTTGCCCAGACAGACTGGGATGTGTTTAAAGCTGCAGCCACCTCGGAGGACTTTTCTGTCAGCGTACAGGA